TTACTTAATTCAAAAAGGGAATGTAGGGCTGCGTTACGGGTGCGTTACAGGGAAGAGGGAGGGTCAAATATCGGGGAAAGTGCGCTACATAATACTTGAACGACCCCTAGGATCCCTGCATACCCCTCTTGTCTTCACTGGAAAAAAAACACATTGGATCTAGAGTCCAGACTCTTGAAAACATTGACAAAAAAAAATACTCTTGATTCAATCGGATTTTTTCTTGAATCAAAACGAAATCCGCTTTAATTAAGAGGTTTGGTCCTTGATTTAAGCTAGATTCTTATTGAATCAAGCGTACTTTTTCTTGTCGATGTTTTTAAGAGTCTGGACTCTAGATCCAATGTGTTTTTTTTCCAGTGAAGACAAGAGGGGTATGCAGGGATTCTAGGGGTCCTTCAAGTATTATGTAGCGCTCTTTCCCCGATCTTTGACCCCCCTCTTCCCCGTAACGTACCCGTAACGCAGCCCTACATTCTCTTTTTGAATTAAGTAACGCTGACTTGACCCCCCCCCCCCCATTTTCAGAAAATCAAGAAAACGATCCACAGATCCAATGTGATTTTTATCCAGTGTTCCATGTCTATAGTTTCGTCTCTCAAATTCCGTAATCAGCCCACAGAGTCAATAACCCGTCTCGTCATCAATCATCGTGAAACATGGGCTTGACATCCCCGGTAGCGGTGACCTTGACCAACTTTGCCGGACCGACCGTCTGCCCGATGAAGTTGCCCATCTCGAAGGTGTCCTCGGCCGCGTTCTCGGTGATCATGCCGTCGAGCATCTGCCCGATGCCGTCCGTCCGGCCGAAGGTGTCGATGAGCGAGTCGGCGTTCCTGTCGGACAGGAGCCCGGTCATGCCGGTCATGATGCCGGTGAGCCCGCCCTTGGACTCCTCCGCCTCGGCGGCCTTGCGCATGGCCAGGGCGTCGATGGCGAAGTCGCCGACCCGCCGCGTCCCCCGCGCCAGGGACTCCAGCGACGTCGCCGCCGAGATCCCGGCCACGTTCTTGAGGGACACCAGGTGACGCACGATCGGGACGTTGTCCGTTGCCTTCTTCAGGAGCCGGTTGTTCTCCTCCCGCACCGCGTCCAGCACGTGCACCGTCTCCGAGACCGCCGTCGTGCCCAGGTCCACAACCTAATCGAGAAAGAAAGACCAAGGTTCACCAGCAGGTTGATTATTGAAACTTATAGACAAAGCGATAGACATAGAAGACATAGAGAGTACGGAACAATCATATTGGTTGACATGGTTGCCGTTATTTAGTCTATTACCCCCCTCCTTTGTCCATCGCAACCACTCGCTTCCATCAATAGGATCCCTCCAGATCCCTTTTGTCTCCTTTGTCTATAGCTTTGTCAATCAATTTCAAAAATCAGCCCGCAGGTTCGTTGCCTTAGAAGATTATGATTAAATGACGCCATTATTTAAACATGATCAGGTAACAAACCAAGGCGTTTTGGATTGGTTTAGCGAGTTGCATCCTTACATTGGTATTTCATCGTGGATTTTATAGCTTTGTCTATCAATTTCAACAATCAGCCCGTCGCGGACTGATTATGGAAACTGATGGACAAAGCGATAGACAAAGAAGACATAGGGAGTATGGAGTGATCCTATTGATTGACATGGTTGGTTCTTACAGACTAAGGAAGACGATGATGGACTAACTGTCGGGTCTTTAGTGAGTTGCCGTTAGTTAGTCCATTACCTATCTCCTATGTCCATTGCCACCACCTGCTTCCACCAATAGCATCCCTCCAAATCCCTTTTGTCGTCTTAGTCTATAGCTTCGTCAGCTTCGTCTATCAGTTTCAATAATCGCCCCGCAGGTTGATTATTGAAACTTATAGACAAAGCTATAGACAAAGACGACAAAAGGGATTTGGAGGGATCCTATTGGTGAAAGCAAGTGGTGGCAATGGACATAGGAGGTAGGTAATGGACTAACTAACGGCAACCCACTAAAGACCCGACAGTTAGTCCATCATCGTCTTCCTCAGTCTGTAAGAACCAACCATGTCAACCAATAGGATCGCTCCATACTCCCTATGTCTTCTTTAGCTTCTTCTATAGCTTTGTCCATCAGTTTCCATAATCAGTCCGCTGCGGGCTGATTGTTGAAATTGATAGACAAAGCTATAAAATCCACGATGATATACCAATGTTAGGATGCAACTCGCTGAACCAATCCAAGACGCCTTGGTTTGTTACCTGATCATGTTTAAATAATGGCATCGTTCAATCATAATCTTCTAAAGCAACGAACCTGACGGCTGATTATCGAAATTGGTAGACAAAGCTATAGACAAAGGAGACAAAAGGGATTTGGAGGGATCCTATTGGTGGAAGCGAGTGGTTGCGATGGACAAAGGAGGTGGGTAATAGACTAATTAACGGCAACCCACGAGAGGTCCTTTAGTTAGTCCGTCATTTTTTCCCATAGTCTAGAAGAATCACCGAAAATAACCAATAGGATCCCTAAATACTCGTTGTGTCCTCTCCGTCCATCGCTTTGTCTATCAATTTCAACAATCAGCCCACTGCGGGCTGATTGTTGAAATTGATATACAAAGCTATAGACAAAGAGGACTTTAGGAAGTATGGAGCGATGTTATTGGTTTAAATGGGTGGTTCCTATAGACTAAGGGAGAAATGATGGACAAACTATAGGGTCTCTTCGTGGGCTGCCGTTAGTCAGTCTATTACCCTCCTCCTTTGTCCATCGCAACCACTCGCTTTCACCAATAGGATCCCTCCATATCCCTTTTGTCTCCTTTGTCTATAGCTTTGTCAATCAATTTCAATAATCAGCCCGCAGGTTCGTTGCTTTAGAGGATTATGATTGAACGACGCCATTATTTAAACATGATTTGATAACAAACCAAGGCGTTTTGGATTGGTTCGGCGAGTTGCTAGATAGCGACTCAAAAGCTAAATGGTGTAAGTGACTCCTTATGGAGAATAGATGCCGTTCCGCATTCATATCACTCGGGTTTTTGGGCGCAATATAGACTCCAGTGCGGAATGTCACTCAAAATTGTTCCACAGTGCTGCAGAGTTTGCAATAAAGTACGATTACATGGTAAAACGATTGCTATTCGACGGTGAAACTCCCAAATCTCCTATCTCATTCGCGATGTTTAAAAATCTCCGCTCTTCTTTCATTTTTTTAAAAATGATAACTAATCAACAACACTCCGTGAAGTTTTTCCAGAATTTGCTTCCCACAAAGAAGAAAAATCCAGGAAGTTTTAAAGGATAGACGTTTAGGAGCTCTCCATTTAAAAAATGAAGTATGACAGGAAGTCTGTGACTTCGCAAATCGAGATACTTCATTTAGGAGTTTCACCATCTCACCATATCGGAGTGCCGAGTGTTATGCATGTTGCAATTCTACCTTCTTCTTTCGTGATAGCGAAGAGAGTGCATGCTGGGATGAGCCTCAAGACACACACAAGTATGTGCTGATTATGGCTCACGCAGAAATTATCACGACAGACTTAAGGGTCGTAAGAGTTATATCGCGTGTTTTGCCCCATCTAACATTTCTACTCCTGCGTCAAAGTCGCCAAGTCAGCGCTAAATAGACCAGTGTTCGAAACTCACAGGCGCCAACGCGCCAAATACGCCTAAAAAATCGGCCATGGCGCCTAAAAAATGAAGGCCAACGTGGCCCCTAAAAATCTGGATTTTCACAGGAAGTCACATAAAGAAAGAAAAACAAATTTACCTATTTGAATTGAAAAAACTCAGAATTTTCAGCACTACAAGTGAAAGCTTGCTTTTTCTATTCTTCACGATTTCATTCTTAGTGCTTTTGTCTTCCCCAAGTTACAGCTACTTACTAGTTCTGGTACGAAAATGTTTTGCGTCTAACTTTTCACTAAATGCGCCGTAATATATTGGCAAAAAGTCAATTTGGCCCCTAAAAATCTTCAATGGCGCCTAAAAATCGGGCTTAATGCGCCACATGGCTCCTAAAACTCAAAGGTGAGTTTCGAATACTGAAAGAGACCAAGTTCTCCTTCATCTTTGTGGGTAGGCAATTTTATCTACTTTGAAGTCAAAATATATCACGTGCTTCGCCCCGTCCAATTCTTTTACTCCTGCGTTAAAGTCCCTGCGTCAGTGGAAAAGAGACCAAGTTCTCCTTCATATTTGCGGTTATGCAATTTTATCTGCTCGAAAGTTGAAATAGTTGTATCACGTGTTTCGTCACATCTAACTTTTCGCCCCATCTGCTTTTTTACCTACTTAAACATACCTTTATACCTAATCTGACTAACTTTCATAATGTGAGGGAAAAAGTGACGACGTTAGATGGTTTCTGTTGGTCGTGTTGTTTGTTCCTTTATTTATATTGTTGTTTAAATTTTGTTGAGACGGCAGTCATTTTGAATTCTACATGCGGAGTTGTAAAACTGGACACTTTTTGGGCAACTCCTCATTCGAAGCGGGAAGCTAAAATACATATGTACCACTTTCTGACGTAGATTGAGAAGTTGAAGTTAAGAGTGAATTTCAAACGTCAGTGATGTGCTCATCGTCATAGTTGGGTCATTTTTAGGTTATAGGACATTTAAACAACGATCTTTTGTCCACGCACCTGTTTTTTTTTAGTAGTTTACGACCCAAGTGTTTTTTCGGCAGGGGAGTTTTGGTCCACTTACCAATTGAGACCCAAAGTTAATAAGTACATATGTGAATACATGTAAGTCCTAGTATCTGTATTCAAGAAAGTTTAGCATGATTTTTGAACTTCATAAGAGGAAAAAGTGACTTGATTCAAGCAGATCTAAGTTCGAATTTACCGCCGAGAGAATTTCCTCATGAATCATTAAAGAAAATGTTTGCTTAAGAAAAGATGCTTACATAAAAAGAAAAGTCACTCACATCAAACAGAAACCCGCTTTCATTCAGCCACTTTCGTCTTGATTTAAAATAAATTCTTCTTGACTGCATACTCAAGGATGTTTCTGCCTAAATCGAGTCACTTTTTTTCTCTAATGACATTCAAAAAGTATGCTAAACGTCATTAAATACGGATGATATCACTTACTCAGTTTTTGGACTACAACTCGCCTCTTTTTGTGCCGGAGTATCTTGATTTATTTTGCGAGTAAAGCTCCGTACTCTTCGATAAGGATACCTGTCATCCTTAACATGCTGGAGCGCGTTCAATTTCGTATGATACTGTACAACACCTCTGTTGTGAAATAATTGCTTATTGCGCCGTGTCACCGCGGAGGTAGGTCTACACATTTTCCATGACTCTCTGTCCCGTTTTAACTACAATTTAAGCCGAAGTGTAACCCTGAATTGTAACGATTCAGAATCTCGGATTGGGTTTGATCATATTAATTTTTTTAAAATGAAGTATGAAATGAGCGAAAATATTGCCTCAAAATTTCCGGCGATTGAAGAAAATCCGCGGAAATTCTTTAGAAAAACTGTATTTGCCTTTCGTGACAAGAATGATTAAAAATAAGACATTAGTTAAGCTCTGGGACTTTGAAACCGGAGATAAATACGCTTTTTCTCGCTTGCAGATATGCATATTTGATCTCATTTACGGCATGCGTAATGATACAACTATTCAACCACGGGTGTAAGCATGTTGCTGCTGACAGGATTGAAGGCGCGTCACACTCCAACAGTGACTCGGGTCCCGTCCCGTGCGATCTTTCTGGCTGGCGCGCCCCTTAAATCGCCGCAAAGGTAGGACTACACGTCATTATTCTTGACTCTCAGTCCCGTTTTTACCACAATTTGAGTGAAAGCGTATCCCTGAATTGTAACGATTCAGAATCTCGGATTGGGTTTGATCATATTATTTTTTTTAAAATGAAGTATGAAACGAGCAAAAATATTGCCTCAAAATTTCCGGCGATTGAAGAAAATCCGCGGAAATTATTTAAAAAAAGTGCATTTGCCTTTCGTGACAAGAATGATTAAAAATAAGACATTAGTTTAGGTCTGTAACGTTGCACATCGGAGATAAATACGCTTTCTCTCGAGTGTAGGAATGGATATTTGAACTCATTCACGGCAGGCGTAATGATATAACTATTCGACCACGGGTGTAAGCATGTTGCTGCTGGCAGGATTGAAGGCGCGGCACACTTTAACAGTGACTCGGATCCCGTCTCGTGCGATCTTCTTGGCTGGCAGCGCGGCGAGAGGGCGGTCGACGCGCAACGTGCATTGGCGCCTACAAACCTAAGTGGATACTTAGGTTTATATTAGGTTTATATTAGGTTAGCAAGGCGTGGAGTATCCACCTAGGTTTGTAAGCAGCTTCGCTCTGTGTTCGGCTCTTATATTTTAACTCGCGGATTCAGCATTTTTCAACTCTGTATATACGAAAATTTAGATTTTTAAATTAGGAGAGGCAAAGAGTTTCAAAAGTTAGGTAGTGACATTGGGTTCATCGCAAGTTAGTGGGTATGCTTAGACCAAGTCACTGTTGCTTATTTTACGCGTGGACGTAAACTAATCGACAAAACAGGTGCGCGGACAAAAAATCGTTGACGAAATGTCCTGGAACCCATTTTTGAAAACTACGCTACGTATAGCTCCAGCAAAAGTTTGCAACAAGCATACCTTGTTTTGTCGGTGATACATTCCGCCATGCGAGAGAATAACGTTCAATGAATATTCGGAAGTTGACCAATTTCTCCGATAAAATAGTATTTTAAAAGAAAGCCATGAATTTTTTCTGTTGAACTTTTCAGTTACCCTAAATTAAATTGCGGATGAGATTATTGAAAAAAATTTGAAACAAAATGTTCACAAAGTTTCCCAAAAAATGTCTATTCTGTCAAGGCAAAGTTGACAACGTCCGAGGGTTCATACGGTGCTTTCCCTTGGTGCAGCAGCATTAATCTTCAGATATTGGACCACCATACTGCCGTGCTAGGGAAGAACGACGTATGAACCTTCAGAAGTTGCCAAGTTCCCTTTGATAAAATACGAATGTATTGGGAAAGTTATGAATATTTTCCCTCCAACTTTTCAGACAATATTGTTCGCAATTCAATGTAAAATATCTTAAACATTTCAAGGACACATATCTATAACTCCCTTCAAAAATAAACATTTTATCGGTGGAAATTTGGCAACTCTTGAATGATCATACGGCGTTTTTCCTTGGCACGCGGCATAATTTAAATGTATCTTTAGAGAAGAGTGAGCGATTACGTTACCGAATGCCCAACGGATCGAGTGAGGTCCTTAAGCTTCTCCAGGTTATCCATGTTGGTGTTGTGGACCCTGACCAGAGAGTTGAAGGCCTGTGTGCCCAAGTTCGAAGCTAACCCATTAGAGATGCCCATCAGGAGTCCCACACCGTTGATAGCTTTGCGAGCGGCCTCGTCAACAGAAGAAAGGGCTTCGTTCGCCTTTTCTCTAGCTTTGGCCGCAATTGATGAGAGACCTTTCGATATTGAGCTTGACGCGTCGTCGCCGTTGCCGCGCGCACTCACCGATGAGTTCGTGACGTCATCTCCTTTCGCCCGTGGACTCACCGTTGAACCTAAGACGTCATCTCCTTTCCCTCGTGGACTCACTGTTGAACCTGTGACGTCATCACCGATGGTGCGAGGACTCACCGATGATCCTCTGACGTCATCTCCGTTCGCTCGAGGGCTCACCGATGGGAGGCTGCGTGATGATGCGATTGCGGGGGTGGTTTTGGGGGGTATGTCCGCAGAAGGGAGGGTGCGTGATGATGCGATTACGGGGGTGGTTTTTGGGGGTATGTCCGCAGAAGGGAGGCTGCGGGCAGCGGGACTATCAGGTACGCTTTTGGCGGGTGTCAAAGGAGTCCTGATGAACCTTTTGTAACTTTTATCTCTGAAACGAATGGGCGGTGTCAATAGGGGTGCGCGTCTCTTCGGAGATTGTAGCTGGGCCGCAAGAGAGTCCAAATCATTAGCGACGCTTTTACTTCGTATCCTTGCTAAGGGCTTTGCATTCGAAAAGTCCTGAAATACATATATTAGGAGCTGTTATTGAAAATAAATAGAGACTAGCGAAAAGGATGGAATTCTTAGAGCTCATGAACCATGGCATCCGTTGCTAACGATGCTGCATATGGCTCATAGGTTATTGAAAGTTGGCCGTTTTCCGTATCAATGATATATTTGATATTAATGATATTTCATGGATAATATTTGTTGTGAAGAAAAGGCGGAAGTTTTAATTAGAGTCCCTTCATACTGAGAGTCAAGATAACACCCCCTCATGGAGTCACAAACGGGAATAAAGATTACAGAAATTGAACGTTTTTCGTAATCTTTGATCGGCCCATTCTCAAATTCCTTTCTCCGTTCCTTCTCTCATTCCGTTTGTTCCTTGCCGAACCCGTAATTCCCTGGTCCATTCCAGATTATAACCTTTGCAATCGGTGAAAATGTAATCTTTATTCCCGTTTGTGACACTTGGGAACCAATCAGAAATGGATTCACATTGTCTTGACTCTCAGTGTAAAGGGACTCTAGTTTTAATACCCATGAGCCATTTCAGACTTTATTGACAATGGATGCCAAGGCTCATGAGTTTTTTTTATTTCCGCCCTTTTCGCGTGTCTCAGTTCAAATTTCGTCACGTTCCAGGAGAAGGAAGATGATCTGGTCCATCACAGTGGTCTTTAAGCAAAAAAAAAAAAAAAAAAAAAAAAAAAAAAAAAAAAAAAAGTCGACCAAAATGTACACAAAAACGGACTTCAGGGGATGAATCTATGGCATGTGTAGATTTAAAATCACGAAAAAACAAAATTTTGGCTGATACTATTCTCGAGGTATCGCATTTTGAAATTTCAATAGTCGATGCAAGTTTTCTACTGCCTTTGATTCGGTTCGTTAATTTATTCGTTCATTGAATCGGCGTCGATCGGTTTACGTTTTTATTTTTCGTTCGATTCATGTCGATTGAATACGTACCTTCTCGTTTCATGCAGACTTCTTATCAAACTAATTTTTTTAACTGAATAATTCGCCTTCTGCTACGTCTGCAGCAATTGTTGTTGCAAATATGTTGTGCGTGCTGCTTTCGGCCTATTACATACTCGACTCTTTGAAGGCGTTTTATGTGATGTGTGCAAGTAACGCAATCTGTTGGAGAACAAACAAAGTAGGGATTGAGCAATTCATTCAACCTCACTTCTGTTGTTCTCCAACAGGGTGCTCTACTTTCGCACCTAAAACGCCTTCAAAAAGTCAAGTATGTAATGCGCTGGGATCAGGGCGCACAACATATTCGTAACAACAATTGCTGCGGATGTAGCTGAAGGCGAATTGAAAACAATCGTGTAATACACATTGGCAAACATTTTAGCTTTTTAATAAATATCGTCACCAATAGAGAGTTGCATTGAATGGTCTTTTTATGAGGGATTATCGAGAAAATGTTCACGATAAACTAAGTTTAAATGCAAGAAAATATACCGTGCTACAAAGTTTCAGTTTCGGCGGGAAGAGTAGGCTAAACTTTTCGCCAAGACTTCAAGAAGAGCCGACACCTCAAAAGGTCTCGAAGCAACTAAAATGTACCCAATAACGAATTGCAGAGGATGAATCCATGGTACGTTTAGCGTTCTCAAAGTTTCAAAAATTTACTGTGGAGACTTTCACAACTTTGCGCTAACCCATATCCCAAAACGTTATTTCAAAATCAATCCAAAACTTTGCTCCACGTTTCTCATTATGACTAGGATTTTTAATGATTTAGAGGGAATCCCTATTGGTAATACTTCACAACGCTATACTTAGCTAGTCAAGTCTTTAACGTGTTCATGCAATTCAGGGCTTAAGATCAACTGAGATTGAAAAGATTACCGGAATTGCATGGAAACCCTCGTAAGCAAGCTTATCTACATATGTAATTCATTTTTGCAATATTTTCAATTTTTCATCAATGCCTCAAGCGAACTACGAAAACAGACCATCAAACCCCTCTCTCTCTAAATGAGACTTTCCTTTGTGTTGTATACTAAATTTGTAGCTCTCACTTTTAATTTAAACTGGACTTCAAAGTTGATTGAATACTGAGTAAAATGAAGTGCCTGACAATGAGAGGAAAAAAATGTTGATATCTCTGAAGAAGAGTATCCTACAGAATGGGCTCGTTCAAACGGACGAAAGTTATCTGCACAAAATTTTAATTGCAGTTATTTTGCATGTAGATTTCCGTGTGACATACAACCATATAAACTCTGTATTCAGTATTTTTCGGTGTAGTTTAAGAGTATTTTTCCCCAGAAAAGTCTGATAAATCATGTGCGAAAGAGGGATTTGTTTGTAATTTTTTGGAGGATGGAATGTTTCGCATGACGGATGCTCGGCGAGGGAATATGAAATTCCAAATTCAGCGTGATGTATATTTTAGGGAAATGCCTTGGTTGGTTTCCTTTTAAAATACGTGAACATACTTGACCGGAAATTTTTAAAATTTACAATTCAGAAACTTTTTTTCCAAGTCGCCATCTATGTGCAACCCGCGTTAGGAGAAACATGAAATTTCAACAATTTTGAATCAATATCTTTCTCAGCCAGCTTACCTACTTTTTTCGTTTGCAATGTAGATCAGCTAGATAGCTCTAGAAAGTTGATAAGTATGAACTCTTTCTGGCCAGAACAATATCACAATCAAAGGTTCCGATGGGCACTAATTAATTTTAAGCAAATACGCGCATTTGAATGGGCACGTAGAACAAATTAAGCAAGGATGGTGATACTTGTACTGGCTGATTCTTAGCTCAATTCTGGAGCAATAAGATCGCGCCATTTTCCCATTGTCCTCTTCGTTAACAGCTTTATCTATTCAGCAAGATTCTACAACTGATGAAGCCATCTTATTGCTCAATTCAATAATTTAAAATAGAGAGATCATATATTTTTCTTACCGTCAAAAGAAACAAAATAACAAACGAAAACAAAAGAGCTCGAAACAGATGCCTCGCTGGCATTACGGACGCGTAGGATGAGATTCCAGGAGTCCCACTTTTCGTCTAACTAGAGGCACGTGCAAAAACTTTGCTGAAATTAGATTTCAGCCTCCGTGCGTCCTATTTCTACGTCATGAGACTGGAGCGAGGTCTTCAATGGGAATCACGGTGAGTATTCTGACACCACAAGCGTCATCAGACATTTTTTGAGATATTTGCGTGACATTATCGTATCGTGTTTTTTGAGTTACGGGCGCCTGATGCTAATGCATTTTGGCGGCTCTCCGATCGATTTAGGATCGCAAAACATTGACTATGCACGGAGAAAAAAACCTCGTGCGTGGGACCCGAAGTTTAGGTCATATGGATCTCTGAAGTTTTCAGATTGAGCATCTGAACACTGTCGAGGTTCGGATCACACATCTGAAACTTCAGTTCTTACATCTGAAGTACTTCGGTTTTCACATCCGAAAAACCTCGGTTCTCACATCTGAAGTATTTCAGATGTAAGAACTGAAGTACTTCAGATGTAAGAACTGAAGTTTCAGATGTCAGACCTGAACTTCGGCAGCTAGACCTTAAGTGTTCAGATCCTCAATCCGAAAACCTCATGGATCCATGTGACCTAAACTTCGGGTCCCACGGCCCACGCACAAAGTTTTTTTCTCTGTGTGGGTAGACGCAATAAGATGGCCTCATCAGTTGCAGAATCTTGCTGGCTGATTATTGAAATAGATAGACAAAGCGGCTAACGAAGAGGACAATGGAAAAATGGCACGATCTTATTGGTGAAGGCGGGCGGTTGAAATTGACAAAGGAGGTAAAAAAAAGTGAAAATGCTTTGCACATGGTTTGAACAAGAGTAGATTTATTATTATAATATTCGGAGCATAGAGAGATGTTCTGAAAACCTACGTTTTTGTTTCTACAAGAGAATAACTGAAGCAGAATATGCTTTTGAGCCGAGAAAACTTGAGAACGATGAAAAACATTATCACAAGTTCGCTAAACGCCATCACTGTTTTGAGAAGAAATTGCGAATATTTCGTCGACATAGGAGTATATAAATTAGGGTCTAAAACTAGAATATATTATGTAGTTTTAAAAAACAAGTTAACACCTTTCAATTGAAAGCTTTACAAAAAACTGAACTTGTTCTTCAGAACTATATATCCTGGGATTGCAGGCTTAAGGTGCGCAAATCGGTAGGTCGGAAATGGTGTGGTTGGCGGTAGGTCCAGCTTCGAGATATTATGAATTTTTAACGATTAAAGCGCGTACTGTATTGAACGTACAATGCGTGAAGTATTCTTACTGTCTTGTAGGCGCTAATAAATGCTTTATCGCGCCAACCAGCGTCCGCACTGTGCCAGGCGCAATGCGTGAAGTATTTCTGCACTCTCGTAGGCGCCATTATGCGTTCCGCGGCGACCGCATTATGTTTAGCAAGATTAGAAACGATGATACAACATTGGATAAATTGAATGAAAACAAGAAGCAGAAGCAAATGCAAGTAAATTTTCACCGTGAGAAAGACACGTACATCGGAGGAAAATTTTGACGTAAAGAGACAGAGTTTGTTTTGCCAGTAAAGAAAATAATTGCACTATAGAGTTTGAAAAGGGAAAAAGGGCAGATTTGCACAAACAAGTGAAAAAGTTCTCACATAAGAATGTAAAACTACTGTTAGAGAAAACTAAAATTTGAAGTAAAAATCGTTCAAGTGGTTTTAACAAACCTTCTACATATATCTTGACTTTTCCAGAAAAATACTGGATTGACTGGACAATTTATCTCAGTTTCTACAATCAGAATAATCCGATAAAAGTGGGGCATAGATGCAAGTATAGAGTTTCCACAGCAAAATTTAAAGGCACCTCTGTTTTTTGATCAACGTTGATCGCGAGCAGAACAATACAAAAATTTGATTTTGAAAAATTTAAGACTCCTCTAGACTTCTCATTCTTATCCTAAGAACAGAGCTTTTGTCAACATAGTCTGGCTCACTGCATCACCGAAAGCTCATAAGCCGACAGAAAAGAACTCAACGGCTAACAGAAACATAGATGACTGTTGCTGCCTTATAACAACTATCCATAAGGGAATGTAGAATCTCCTAAGTTTCCATCTTCCACCTAAAAGTTATTGAGGCGATTCGTCATGGTTTCCTGCGTGGTCGAACTGGCGTGCGATATCGCATCGATTTAGTCGAAAATCTGATCAATATGTCAGATTTATGAAATGTCAGTTATCGATTTCTGCATCGAATGCGAGGCTTTTCTCCAAACAGGATTTTGCTTTCATTTCTCCAAATTGTGCTGATTTTTTTTTGTTTAGAATGATTTTTTAGACTTATGCGCAGGGCTCATTGTCCTTCTTGGATACAAATTCAAAATCTACCCAGATTTTTGACATAATCAATACGATATATCCAACACCAGCCAGAATTGTTGAAATTGGTAGACAAAGCGATAGACCAAGAAGACAAAAACGATATAGAAGGATATAGGGATATAACTATATAGGGGGTGGTTGCAATGCGGACAAAAGCGGTAGATAGTAGGCTAACTAACGGGAACCCACGGAAGACCCTTTCTGTATAGTCCATCATGTTTTCCCCTAGTCTATAAGAACCTCTCATTTCAACCAACAGGATCGATCGCTCCATACTCCTTATGTCTTTTTTGTCTATTGTTCTGTCTATCAATTTCAACAACCAGACTGCAGTTTGACCACATCAGAAACCTTGACGAATCACCATAAGGGATCCCTTATGGTGATTCGGTGAGCGGACTATTCGTTTCTGGTTCCAACTCGAGCTTTACTTCCCCCGTGGGCTAGACTTATGGCGACCGATCGCCTCCCCAATTTTAAAAGCTGACTCCGGACCAGTCGTCGAGGCAATCCTCCTCAAAGTATCAACGTTCCCCTTGCTCGTCCCCAACGCCAAACCAACCGTTAGCAAATCCGAACCGGAGAGTCCCTCGATCTTCCGCAGAAATCCCCCGATGCCCCCCGTGGGGACCGTCACCTCCTCGGTCTTCCGCAACGTCACGGCGCTGACAGCAAGGTCTCCCAGCCTCTTCACGGCGCTCGCTGCCGCCTGGATACCGCTCGTCCTGGCCAGTCCGACGACGTTCCGCAGCCCCACCAGATGGCGCACCACGGGGATCTTCTCCGTGACCCCGGTCAGTATCCGATTCTCCTCGCGCCGCACCGCGTCCAGGACGTTGCCCGCCTCCGTGACCCCGGATGCCCCCAAGTCCACGGCCGAGCTTCCGACTTTCCCCACCAGGTTGCGCAGCTTGCTAAGGTTGTCGATGTTCGCGTTGTGTACCCGCACCTGGGTTCAAAAATTTCGTGAATGAGGTTGCATTTAACAGAGCCGAGAGACCCTCCACTGGCCTCTTGACGACAGGTGGAAGCGTTTACTATCGGGGATTCGACAATTACCTATGGGCAATTATAAGGGAGCAACAGTCGTCACTCTTATTTCGGCTGTTGACCTACCTACATGGTGGATGATGAGCTTCGGGTCACGTCGTGAGCCAAACAAGTTGCCCAAACTTCGGCTTGTTTGCAAAACGAAACGGCCAACACGTTTTTAACCATCGACCAAGTAGGTAAGTCAACAGTAAAATGCTGAAGACCCGAAAGTAAAAGCTTTCCACCGTTGCAAGATACTGGTGGAGGGTCTCTTGTCTCTGCATTTAACCCGCTTTTGTTACAAAATAAGCGGAATGAATCAGGAGCAAAGGGATCGGTAAGTCAACTTTTTTTTGTTATACCATCTAGTGAGTTGTTAAAAACCAATTTAGTGAGCTGAGCATGAAGAATCCTTGGTTTTAAACCAGACAGGTATTAAGAAAGTTATGATGGAATACCTACGTGGTATGCATTGATACACACAGGGTTGAATGGGAAATGCTGCCCAGTGAAGTCGCAGGGCGGGCAATTTCCTCAATTTGAAAACAACTTTCCCCCGCGACCCCAAATAAAAAGAAAATCGCGGAAAATTTTCTAAACTCAGCTTGATTAATACTTGTATATGAAGCGACATATTTTATTGAGTCACTGATCCACTGTTAGGAACTTTTCCTTTTTTAACGCTAGCGAGATTCCTCCACCAAAACCTCAAAATACGACTTTTGTATCCTAATTGGACGTATTTCTATCAAATCAAACGGAACTAAGCGCCAATTTGAGTTCCTTTTGAGGAATTTAGAATCCCGGATAGCGCGTTCTGTCAAACAGACCTATAAGCGCCGTGGAAAAGCATTGCGAGTATAGAATGGAATAAGCCGGACGCTCGATTCCGCCGCCAATCCAAACCCCCTCTACCTTCCTCGCCCTATGACGTTTAGTTCCGTTTGACAGAAATACGTCCATTTGTACTTTACAAAATGAAAATTTTGCATTCTTAGAGAAGGGTTCCTTTCCTGCAAACGGATAATGGGCCCCTTTTCGTCTCTTCTTTGGGAACTTGGAAATTTCATCGATATGTGGTTTAAATGAAACCTTGCAACAGGACAAAAGTGGTTTTTTCTTTTCATCATTAGGAACTTTTATGGAATAAACACTGTGCGTAAGGTTTTAAATCACAAGTCAGATCCTCACCATGCAATTGTACGCCTTCCGGCCCAATTCCGAAGTGATCCCACTAAGGAAACCCAACGTGAGACCGGCCCCACTCACAGCCGTCTTAGCTTTGTCGTCGATCGGTTTTACGATCGAGCTAACAGCGCGGACGAAAGAGTTTTTAGCCCTCGATGCAATCGTTGAGAGACCGGTTGACGGTGAGTTCCCGAGCGACTTGGACACGACTGTTGAGGGTGTAGTTGACGGTGAGTTTTCGAATGACCTCTCATTATTCGATCTTGTCGTAGCGAGGCTGGTGGACGATGAGATTCCGGGTTCCGGATTTTCCGATCGGTTCCGGAGTCGTTTGAAGGGTGACTCTTTGAACCTGTCCTCTACGTCGCCTTTATGGTCTGGTTTCGGCCCGTTGCTGGTCAATGGCTCGTCTACCCGCTCCCTGAGGGATTTCAGATCCTCGCTCGTTTCTTTGATCTTGATTGGAGTAGCAAGGGATGGAACCTGCGGAAATAATCGTGGGGGCGGAGTTTCAGAAATTATTTCATGCGATTTCTGACGGAAAGAACAATTTGTGCTCGTACGAAAATTGGTGGCAGCGCTGAAAATTCATCTTTGAATGGTATGCCCTGGATAGACGATCAAATTCCGAACCAATTTCGATCAAAGTAGACATGCTGATGACTGATGGTCAGCATCTACGATCAAATTTTGACGGGCCGCACTTATTTGTTCAAAGTAAGATCAGAATGGAGTGCAACCATTCACCATTTCCTGCCACAGGAAACATTTCTGCCAAGTTTTCATTTTAAAATGAAGCAAATTAATGAGTTGAAGACTGATGACTCCCGACACTTTGATGCTACTTTGATCGGAATTGGTTCGGGAATTTCATCGTCTATCCAGGGCTAGAATGAAATTTTGAGAAAAATGGGAGTGAAGAATTGTAGAGGCTTCTCTCGCTTATTCTAGTTGAAGTATGTTCATGTATAATAAAACTTCGTATATGGGACTCGAAGTTCGGGTCATATGGATCTCTGCAGTTACCAGATCGTGTATCCTTGACTTGAGGTCTAGCTGTCGAAGTTTGGTTCAGAGATTAGGAGCTCCAATATGTCTGATATTAAAAAAAAAGAAAAAAAAGAAAAAAAAATCATTGTCATTGTAGTTAGTTTTTTGATACCAAGAGCGGTTCTCTACTCGTGTCTCTGGTGGAAGTTCCATCTTTTTAATAATCTTTTTTTTTATTTTTTTGAAGAGAATCACTTAAAATTTTGAGACTAATCGTTAGCTAGCTCTTTTTTTAAAAAACAAATAAAACGTAAGCAGGAATTTGAAATCGGACCTACGCATTTTCCGACTTTAGATGCAAATGTATTTTTGCAATTTGAGAATATTGATGGCACGTTAGCCCAAAGAAGAAACATTGGTATTTATCAATTGGACTGCATTTTGCAATTAAGAACTATAAATTCCGGCCGGGTTTAAAAACAACGTATGTGCCGTTAGCTCCCCTATGCACATACGTGTTTTTTTAGATGAGTTAGAATTTATAGCTCCAAATTGCAAAATGCAGTCCAATGGACCATTAGACAAGGTACGAATTTCAGCATTCTGATACATGTTTCTTCACCAAAATTTCACGTAAAATACGATGTGCACAACGAAAATTACCGAAATCAACTCCTTACGCAGATATTTAATGATTCCTGATGCGTGAACTCAAACCACCCGCTCATGAAAACTTAATGCTCTACGTGATTCACATCGCGCGCTAAACGTTATCATTGAACGTCTCTGCGATAAAAAAATCTGGCAACCTCAATCTTGACGCTTTGGCTCAGCTATAGCAAATTACTTATAGTTTGAAAAACACATGGCGGGAAATGAACATTGCTCGATTGAGAAGCTTGCTGAAACCGTTGTAGTGCGCGATTTGACTCACGTAGAGCTTTGAGTTTCTTGTGAGCGGGCAGTTCAAATTCCTCGTAACCAATGTGAAATAAAACTGTTAATATCTCTGTTAGGAGTTGGTTTCAGTAATTTTCGTTGCGCGAATTGTTTTCTACATAAAATTCTGGTTAAGATATATGTATCAGCAGAATGCTTAAATTCGTACCTTGTCTGGTGGTCCATTGCACATTGCAAGTTGTTCTTTTCGTCTATCTTGAGGTGAGTCTCTATTGCGTGTAACGTTGCGTGCGCGTGAACATCAGCTAAGATGAGCATTGCTTCACTGTCACATTTTTGAGAGGAATTCGAAAATTTCCGTGCCATCTGCTCGTAGCTATAACCAAGCCGGCTCGACTCGACCGCTTGTTGTTGTTGTCGTCGGTTGATTGGCCTAATTCGAACTTTGAAAACAATTTGAACGTCATAAAGATACCACGATTATTGCAGTAGGAGCCTCGTTTTGTCCATTATGTCAGATGGCGGTGGATATATTTACATGAAATTTATTTCTCTCTGTTGTGGCTTTTCGGAATTCATTTTGCCTATCTTGTCAAATGAAGGCGAATACATTTGCATGTAATCCAGTTCCCTCCGTTGCGGCTTTTCGGAATTCATTTGGCCTACCTTGTCAAATGAAGGCAAATCTATTCACCAAGAATTTTAAGTTCCCAAGCCTAAATTACGCTCCTTCATTGACAATTAGGTTTTTTTTGAAAAATTCTCCGGGAGTGAATAATTTTTTGCCGTATATATAACTCCAGAAATAATAGAGATGAAAACTTCTAAATATTTCTAGGAGATAAAAGGGTTCTCTTGAAGGTTTGATCTCGCCAATATTAGGCACGCTGTAATTTCCAAAACCTTGTGACCAAATCCTCTGAACTGAAACCTTCACATTGACTCTTCTGACTCTCTTGTCTGGTTGATGTCAGGTTGACATTCGAGTTTGTAAGTTTAACGGAGTGACAATGGTGGTCTTTACGCAAAAGAAGAAGAGGAAGAAAAAACCGTCAATAAAATGCGTGTTTCACATTATGAAATGAATTTTAACACACTTAACTGAATCGCCTCATCTAACATGAAAATTACTTTCATTATACTTTGTTTTGAAAATCGCATTTGATCTCCGCAAAGAGGACCGTTAAAAATATTTCACACAATTAAGTTATTTATTTATGCCTTGTCAATAGTTTCATCATGTTATGAAAATCCTCTAATTTTGCGGTCTCTAGTACGCTAACTCTTCCGGCTCCTGAGAATTTAAGGTATCGTTTGCGATTGAAGGCGTTTAATATCAGCTAACAGTAAGATTATCATAATCAGAACCACTCCATTTCACTACCTAATCACCACACAAGCGACACTTATAAAATTTTAGCCTCTATTTCAAATTTCTGAGAAAAATCTAACTTCTAATAGTTCGCATGATTTTTCTTCAAAATCAGACACTGCGATACATTCTGAAATTTACAAGTGCCAAAAATATTTTGACGTTTCGAGAATGAATTAGGGCAAAAATTTTTTAAATACTGCTATGCATGTGAATTGAATGCATAATCTACTTGCAAGATATTCATATCAGCAAGACTTTACATCTGTAAAATATCGATGATCGTAATCTAGCCGATACAGATATCCAACAGTCAGTAATTCATTGCGCACAGAAAACACGATGACGTAGCAGTAGGGAATATGTCAACATTAATTGTCTGGTCTTTTTTTATGCCCGAGACAAACACATTCTGACATATCGACGGTGTAAGTCGGTAATCACATAACTCGGTTTGCGACGTTCGCAGACTTCCTGTCATATTTTATTTTTTAAACAGAAAACCACTCAACGACAATTCTATTAGAATTGCCGTGATTTTTCTCCTCTGTGCGAAGAAAATTCTGCAAAAACTTCAAGGAATGATGTCAATTTGTACTCCTTTAAAAAAATAACATAAAGGCGGAGATTTTCAGACACCGCAAACGAGTTGTGTGATTGCTGACTTACACCGTCGATATCTTATGCAAAACTGACCTACTGTTCAGTCGTGTATGACAATTGGTGTGCCAAATTGAAAATTGTTTCGAAAAATTTTCAGAAAGGAAACATTTGCCTTGACAAAGTCGGGTACTCAAGATTTATCAACATTGTGCCATGTTGAAGCCTACATGTTATCAACATGGTATTAAAATGGCATCATTATGGCATTAACATGGTATCAACATTGTATCAACTTAGTCTCAACATCGTTCCCCTGGTATCACGATTGTCACTATTGGGCAATTTGTATCACCACCACCATCACACCATGTTGATACTATTTAGGCGTCAACATAAAACCATGTTTCACTGATCAATTTCTTATAATTTAAATCAACAGATACCTTGCCACCGTCACCACGCCATGTTGATACCATTTTGGCGTCAACATAGCACCATGTTGCACTGATCAACTTCTTTATATTGAGCAGGGATAAAACTGACAATTTCAAATATAAATTTCACTGACTAGAGGTCATATCTTAACTAAATGCGAAAGAAATGGTCTTATATCAGTTTATTAAAAATTTCAGTTTGCCTTACCAAAAACACGGGTGAGAGGGAAACTAAACAGACTAAACACCGGATAACTTTGCATGTTGGCATGGCCATAAACTACCGAACTGCGCTGCATTGTGGCTGCTGGGCCTCCAGTTATCATCGGAAATGCGTGAGTACTGAAGCCGTATTACCTTTTTTGCTGCTGTCAGACAGCTCTTCCCATAAAGGAAATATTGGAGCTTAGTGAGTCAGTAATTTTCCGGGAAGTGACAAAAAAAACCGCGGTGATTCTGTGGAAAATTTCAAACCCATTTCAATTACTTTTCGCGTGCAGATAGATGCTCTGGAACTATCTGCTCCAGAGAATAAAATGATAGCAATATCAGATTCTTTCTTGCTTTGATTTTCCATTTTATGATACCTGGCGTCGATAATTCTTTTAAATACCTATTTCATGTTCACCATGTCGATTGGAGACAAAATATTGGGTTAACTCATTAAAAGAAACACGGTTGCCAGGTTATGCCATTTAATTTGGATATTATACATAGGTTCAAAGGGGATAAACTGCTGCTCAGCACATTATGGCAACAATGGGAGGAAAAGAACGTTCCGTCACTGAGGAAAAACGTTGCTCACTGAGACTCAACTTCGGTTCAACGGAGCACCTGAGTTTTTTGGTTTTAGAAAGCCGAGGTTTTCGGTCAAAAAAAAAAACAGTGGCCACAGGTGTAAATTGTTGGATATTGATATTATCCCCATTTGATGCCATAGTAAAAAAAGGTTTTATAAAATGTTCGTTCCCGACACCCTTTTAATCTATCCTTTTTCATAGGTTTAAATGGTAAATTAATCGATTCATCGCACAGAATAGTAGGCATGGCATAGGAATTGAGTGTCGGTTAACTAAGCCGAAGTTCGCGGTTTTGTGACAAAAACTTTGGTTTTCACTCAAATATGACTCAGGGCATTGAACCATCGATGAAGACATTGGTTGTTTCTTTTATTGGAATAAACCCTGGTCTGTGCCAATTATGACTCAAATGATACATTTTATTTAAGTCTAATCACTTTTAAGTCTCGGTGGGTGAACATTAAGTATACATTTTAACAGTGTGACTCAGATAAGAATATCAAAGAATTGTGTTTTTTAGGTTGAATGTTAAAATTTTAGAAAAAATTGATTTGAAGAAACTACTCTGACCAACTAAAAACTTATCGGTTGCGCTTTCATAAAAAGCATTTTCTGTTGTGTAAAATTTTGCGAGAAACAGGATGGTACTATTGGTTTTCTCTGAGACGAATTTCCAAGCTCCAAATTTGAGAGATTTTTTTGAGCTTGAGAGTTAGTATCTAAGAATAATAGTAGCTTCATAATGTTCCTCGCAAAATTTTACTCCCAAAGAAGCACTTGAAGCGCAAATCCCTGTGTCATGATAGGAGACCATCAATGCGATCTTTCATTCAGACGTGCTAAGGAAGAACGTCGTATAAACTTTCGAGAGTTGCCAAATTTCCCTAGGTAAAACATGTATTTTCGAACGAAATAGTCTGAAAAATTGGAAGAAAAATATTTACAATTTCTCCAAGGAATTCGCACTTTATCAGAGGAAATTCGGCAACGCCTGAAGGTTCATATGGCGTTCTTCCTTACCACGGGAGAATTGACCCTTTTCCCTCTCATTTACGCCTGGCGAAGGTCCTGAAAATCCCAGCGAAGGCCGGGTTGCCTCTGAGCTCGGTGATGGAGGCTGCGGCTTGGCCGAGTCTGAAGGCCGTCTCGGGGGTGGACTTATCGAGGAGCTGCTTGATGAAGTCTACGCGGCCGGTGCTCTGGCTCAGGGCTGAGGCGACGGTCATCAGGTCGGTGGGCGAGAGCTTGCCGAGGCCCCCGACGGCGCCCACGAGCCCCGCGGCGCCCACCCCCTCCCCCGCCGCGGGGTACTTGAACCCCGATTTCGAGAACGTCCCCACGGCCAGGTCCCCGAACTTCCGGCTCCCGTCGCTGAGCAGGTCCACGCTCCGCTGGCCGGCCAACTCCAACGCTCCGCCCAGGGAGACTAGACCACCTGCCGAAAAAGTGCGAATCAAATGAGCGTAATAAATGCTAAACTTATAGAAGCCACAAACCCCCCCCCCCTCCAAAAAAAGTGCTAAACTTATAATTTTGTTTAATGCCTTAATGGAGATGTTGCATGTGTGAGGAATTTGCATAGAGTACATAGAGTCGTAATGTAAATGGGAGAGCTGGCGCCACGTTCTGCTCGACGAATTCCGAGCCCGGTGTGCGCAAAGTTCGGGTCGCTTTTTCGATACATTTTCGATCCAAAATGGCGGTGTGGAATACGTGGTAATTGCATGTTGTTGTTGTTGTTGTTGTCATCGGATGGCCGGGTACCTGTGTATCGCAAACAATCGATTATGTATCGAAAAAGTGACCCGGCGTCACACAGGAGTCACGGAATTCGGCACATGGAAAATGCTTAAAAGTGGCGCCAGCTCTAACACTTACATTACGACTCTATGTACTCTATGGGAATTTGCGATTTGACTGTTGATTCTTGTGTAATAGATCGCGAGAAACACGATGGTGCCACTGGTTTTCTCTGAAATCAACTCCTAAACTCGAAAAAAGCTCTTAAGTTTGGGCCAAAATGGAGGGGATATCGCACGCTATCCTGAGAGTCCATAACTGTTACACTAGGTCGTAAAACACTCCGTTTACCTCATGCTCCGAATCTTATGCGAAACGAGAATCCCGTTATGGAAAGTTGGTAGTTTCGAAAACGCCTTCAATTGAGGCGTGATACCTCACGCATACCGTAGAGTACGAATAGTTGTATCGTTGCGCCTTAGCAATGCGATGGAAGATTGATATTGAAGTAGCCTTCACGCTAGTCTTGTTTACAGTCTAGTAGTCTTGTTGCCTTTGCTACAATTGCAGTTTTGACCGCACAGTTTAAGTGCGCTCAAGCTACAATGAAGATGTTGCAATGTTGCATGTGTAAGGAATTTGCGACTTGACTGTTGATTCTTATGTAAAAATTCGCGAGAAACACGATGGTGCCACTGGTTTTCTCTGAAATCAACCCCAAGCTGCAAAAAAGTTCTCAAGTCGAGGCCAATATGGAGGGAATATCCCACGTTATCCTGAGAGTCCCCATTTACACCAAGACAAACCCTCCATGCAAAGATAGGGAGCAAATACATTAGCAGGGTTGCCGTGTTTTCAGTTTTGGAGTCCCCGAATAAAGTGGCAGCCCTTTCAATGTATTATTTGCTCCCTATCTTCGCATAGAGAGTTTGTCTTGATGTGGAGGCGGACTCTCAGGATAGCATGGGATATCCCCTCCATTTTGGTCTCAACTTGAGAGCTTTTTTTGAACTTGAAAGTTGATTTCAGAGAAAACCAGGGGCACCATCGTGTTTCTCGCGAACTTTTACAGAAGAATCAATGGTCAAATCGCAAATTTCTCACACATGTAACATCTCCATCGAGTGGTGCCTCATTAAAAAAATAAAGTATGACAGGAAGTCTGCAACGTGTTAAACCAAGATACGTGATTTGGGATTTTCACCCTTGATATCGTCACCCCCCGGCGAGAATATCACAAGTGTTGTGCGACGTATAATAATTTCCGCAATTGTTCAACGCAGCTGTCCGAAAATTTCACTGAATTTTCTTTGTGCTGCTGATAAAATTCGGTGAAATTTTCGAACAGATTCAACCAACAGTTTCTCTGTATAAAGAAATAAAATGGCGGCGGAAATTTTGAAACGTCGCCTGGCGCTTGCGATATTTTGGCCGGAAGGTCAAGGTTCTGATATGGACGTATTTCTATCAAACAGAACTATGTGCAGGTGAGAAATTTGGGGTGTGTTCTAGACAGCTGCATAAGAAGCAATGTAAAAGTGGGCGTGATTCCTTTTGAAGAATTGGAAAAGCGGGATTTTACATTCTATCAAACAGACCTATGTGCCAACTGAATGCGGCAGTCATGAGCCGCGGGCATGGCAAGAGAGCGTTGTGGACAGGGCTCATGAGCTAAAGCGCCCCGACGACGATCCCCTCGATGCGCCCCCGCTTTTTCGTTGCCGCTGACGTCACTGGCGCTTTATTATTCTCATTCACTCTTACGCCAGAGAACTAATGGGCACACCCCCATATTTCTCACCTCCACATAGGTCTGTTTGGTAGAAATACGTCCATATGTTCCTCGGCACATAAAATATCTTTCGAAAGTATTTTGCCTTTGTTGTGATAAATACAATTTTTCCCAGTGGTGATTGAGATATGTGGTTTTGGAATTACACTTTTAGTGTGTCCGAATTACCTAAGATAGGGATATCCTCGATCGGTTTTCGTTTGCGGGGGGGCTCTGGGGGACTCAGCGCCCCTGAAAAGGTCGAAAAAAGGTTCCAACCCGCATCGACGATCGCGTTACTGCCTTCGTCCTTCTTGGCTAAGCCTCCGACTTCCTGTTTCCGGTTGCCGACTTCCTGTTTCCGGTCGCCGACTTCCTGTTTCCGGTCGCCGACTTCCTGTTTCCGGTCGCCGACTTCCAGTTTCCGGTCCTCGGTATCCGCTTGATACCGGCGGAAATAAGGGAAGAAATCGGAAAGGCCTCCTCTCTTACTGCCTTCGTCCTTCCTGGCCAAGCCTCCGACTTCCTGTTTCCGGTCGCCGACTTCCGGTTTCCGGTCCTCGGTATCCGCTTGATACCGGCGGAAATAAGGGAAGAAATCGGAAAGGCCTCTTCGGCTGTTGACCTTGAGACCTGCGCCCTCCGCTGGTTGGGCCGTGGAGGCAAGTCGCGAAGTAGAATCTGATGGACGGTGAGTTTCGGTCGGCGGTTTACGTTGATACTCGAGTGATTTCAGCAACTTCAAAAGCTGAGTTCTCAGAGACAGATCGGCTCCGTGCAGAGAGGTTGGCTGCGGCTCGGCTCCCGGTTCTTCTGCGGAGACAGAAGCCTAAAACATGTTGGAGGAGGGGAAAACGATTGAAAAGTTGAGCAAATCTAGCAGCATTAAGTGTTAAAAGATTGTAGGGAAACGTTAAAAGTTGCTAAAATGTTCGAGTTAGGAAACTCTTGTAGTTGCTGTTATTTTTTTATTCTTTTAAGAAAAAAATAAAATTACCCTTGAATGAAAAAAAAAATTTGAGTTCAAACAATTTAATTTTGACTCTAATTATAATTTAATTTTTGGAACTTCTTGACTTCGTTTTCCCCGCGAAATAGTGTGGACCCAGCACTATTTCTCCACCTTATTACTCTTAAATTCAACATTGCCTAAATCTAAGTTTAAAAAGGAGTAACGGAAAGCATCTGGGTTCAACATTTTCCTAACTTTAAAAAATTACTCACATTGATGGAAATCATTAAATGAACTGTAAAATATGTAACATGAAAAACTATAATTGCGTACGACTTTTTTTAAAAAAAAAATTACTAAATAAAGTGATGAAAAACTTGTAAAGAAGAAAGATCGCATTTTTATGTATAGAAAACAAATGAATCTAGTTCTACTTCAGATATTTCAATAGTTTTTAGAGTATTACATCTGAAATTTATGTTCTTTTTTTAATAGTGAATGCCAGAACGGCAATAGGGTATCCCACAAAGCAGAAAATTTGGATTTGCAGTGATAAATAGACTCCTCCTTGACAATATCGACGATTTATTCGAATATTGTTTAGTTCTATTACAACACCTCAACATTTTTTTTTTTTTTTTTTTTTTTTTTTTTTTTNTTTTTTTTTTTTTTTTTTTTTTTATTCGAGAGGAAAATACTTAAAATAAATGCAAGAGGGATGACGCGCTATTACGCCACGGACTTTATTTCTTCTTTTCGAATAACTTCGGCACTATTGAATTCGCGTCATAGGCTCAATTTGTTCCCTACATTTCATGCATTTTTTAATGATTTTTTAAGAGCTTTTACAGCTTTAGTTGTTCGGAGATTGGCACCTGACAGCATGCTGGAAATGATTGCTATGAACTCATCGCACCCTTTCACAGCGTTACGTGTCATACCTTCATAGCGAAGCTGTCTTGTTATTTTCCATTGCGACAAAGCGACGTCACTAGACCATCCCTAGGTGGATATGACCTTTCCTCATAGAGAGTTTTGAAATGAGCGCATTTCTCGAAAATTCGATGATTTTAATGTTTCTCCGTGAACACAGGACACTCAGCGCATACTTAAACGCTAGGCATTAGAGCCATTAACGGCCGTGTATTCTGTGAAATTGTTAAATATTCTCGGAGCACTACTTCATGAAAATTCGATGATATTAATGTTTCTCTGTGAACATATGTAGAACACTCAGCGCATTACTAAAACACTAGGCATTAGAACCATTAATGGTCATGTCTTCTACGAAATTGTGTAAAATTTCACGGAATTAAAAAAAAGTGACGCCAGTTTATCTTTCTAATTGGATACAGAGAAGCTAGGCACATTGATTTTCATAGAAACCTTCACTCAAAAATAATGTGCGTGGCTCTGAATCATAAACTTGATATAATTCAGAATCACGCACTGTTGAAATGGACTTTTACTGAAATTAAAAGGTCGTCATAACTCTGAGCATTTCTTTTTCTAGAGAAAAAAAAGAAACACAACGGACTTTCAAATCGTTCATTAAATACAGACTAAATCCGTCTCGTAAATATATGGAACTAGCATCTGGTTATCTAAAAATTCCCCTCTTGTGATACGAGGCACTTTTAAATTGTAATCTGCATTCCGCTTAAGGCAAAGACTTTCCTATCGCAATGCATACTGACATTAATTTTGCGAACGACTTGTTGTTAAAAATTGAAAAAATACTAAAAATTTGTGTTAAATTTAACTTTGTTCACTTTTTCTGGTATGTGCAGATAGATCCTTTTTAGATATTTCATTTAAAAAAAAGTTTAACTCAATCCGATTTCTCGCTCAAAAGTTACAGGCAGTTAAATGTTTTGCCTTTGATCCCCCCGCCCCCCCNGGGGGGGGGGGGGGGGGGCTAAGTCAAAATGACCGCCATATTTGAACGTCTCGCATATTACTGTATCACCCCTGAAAATATGGATCATATTTGGACCGCATTTTGCAATTTGGAACTATAAATTCTGGCTCTTCTGGAAAAACACTTATGTGCATTGGGAAACTAATGACACATACGTTGTTTTTAAACCGAGCCGGAATTTATAGTTCCTAAATGCAAAATGTAGTCCATTTGATGGGTGGGCAATTCTAATATTAGGGGGATGGAACAACCTCTTTCACGAAAAGAACGATGGCGCTATTACAAAATCTTGAGATCGCCTCCCAAACTAAAAAAAAAAAAAAAAAAAAAAAAAAAAAAAAAAAAACCTACTGTAGGTACCGACCCATTCAAAACGGTTACTTTTACGCGGGAACGGATCTCGCATACACTCGTGACGTCACAATACATGATAAGCCTACTCTATTCATCAATCGGCTGCCAAAGAGATCAGGTTTGTCATATACTGTGACGTCATGAAAGTACCGGATCCGTTCCCGCGTAAAAATGATCGTTTTGTAAATTCGAATTTGGGGGCGGTTTTAAGTAAGTTATTTTTTGGGGGTTTCCGGTCATTATTATTAAAACACTCGGGGAAAATTCCTGTGACATCAGGACCCTTAGTTCTGTCGATATGTTGCAGGAAAATAGTAAAATCGGGCATTTTGTCAAATGCCTTGTCAATTAGTCAAATACTCTTACTCATTGTCAGATTGAAATTTTCATTCTCACCATACTTTTAGACAAAATAATTAATTTTTCCTGTAAGTAAGAATTCTCCGTAAAAATGTGTATCATACAATAGTCTTTTGCACGATTTTTAGCTTCTGAACGAATATTTATGTTAAAATTTTCAGCATATCATAAAGTAAAGAAATTTTTAAAAATTTACCATTCAAATATATGGATTGCATTTCGCAAAAAGGAACCAGGAGCATTACAATATTGCTAAGATTGTGCAGCTCCTTTTGTCTTTGAAGGAATACCTAATTATCTCTAAACAGTTTCTATTTAACTCGCTAAAAACTGTAAATTTAGGACAAAAATTACCATGTAAATTTCACATTATTTCAGGATATAAATCGTTATATTGCAATGGGTGAAGTTGCACAATCTTAGCAACATTGCAATGCTCCTGGTTCCTTTCTGCAAAATGCAATCCATATAAGCATCATTTGAGGAGGAAGGAACATGGGGAGTTTGTAGATTTGATGAATTATTTTCCCCAAAACATTGAAAAATCATGAGCTCTTCACCATAAATTTACAAAATTTTATAAACTGCCAATATTTGGCTACTTGCCTGGGCGTTTGATAAAATGCCCTATTTGACTAATCGCCTGCGATGGATACAAGCAAAAAACAAAATTGTGCAACGGGCCCATTACGTTAATTAATTTTTTAATTAATCCCAAAATCGGAAGTTCAACGAATGAATCAGTGAAAACGAAAACACACCAACTCAGTAACTCAAAAATGCTCAATTTTTAGTAAAAAGAGTCAGTTTTCATAAAGGTCATTGAAGTTAACGCGTCTGTTCCAACTTGAACCTTTAAAGTGCCCTTAAGTACTTTGTCTTTCGAAACCGAAAATATTTTTCTTTTGCTGACTCCCTCAACTGCTGTACAGTTTTGCGTGAGTCTTGATTATTTTCATTTTTTCGAGTTGGTGTATTTTCGGTCTCACTGATTCAAATGTTGTGCTCTTCCTCAGCATGACAGTTTAACGTTTGGAAGTACCTGGTAGGCGAGGAGTGTGAGGGTGAGTAGGTGTCCCAGTCGGTGAAAAAGCAGCAACATAGTGCTAAGTCGTGCATGTCACCCGTGATCGGATCGCACAGACGATTGCCACGGAATCCGCGTGCGATCATAATTATCGACATGTTTCGTGTCGAGTCTCGTGCCATCGAGCTAAGGTGACAGGTGCTCTTTGAGCTTTTGTTGTTCGTCACACGTGTGGACGCGCGTCAAATGTTCGCTGGGATGATAACAAGTTAGTTGAGAAAATGTTCCGTTTGGATTCAAGAAAAATTCCGTTACGGTGGATATTTACCGTGCTAATTGCATTTTTAATTCTGGGACTATTAGAACGATCTATAGTTTCCCTCATGCAAGGAAGTGACTGCATTTTGATGGTCACAGTCAAGGAACACCGGGCAAACCGGGGAATGTCAGGGAATTTTACAATATCAGGGGAAATGTTAAGAAAGAATTGATGAGTACCTTTATTTGCAATCTAGAATGAGTTTGACGTTTCGAACCATACATTTTGCCGGAAAATTATTTCTAATTATTTCTTTTTGACCATTTGGCATATTGACGGCGTAAGTCCGCAATTACATATCTCGTTTGCGGTGTCTAAAAATCTACGCCTCTATGTTATTTTTTTAAGGGAGACCAAATTGACATCACTCCTTAAAGCTTTTGCAGAATTTTCTTCGTACAGTGAAGAAAAATCACGGCAGTTTTAAAGAATTGTCGTTGAGTAGTTTTCCGTTTATAAAATAAATTATGACATGAAGTTTGCGACGTCGCAAACTGAGTTATGTGATTGCCAACTTACACCGTTGATATTTTCAATTGTCAGGGAATTACACCAAAATGTGTCGCGGAAATCAGGGCAATGTCAGGGAATTTCGTTTTCTAGAAGTGGTGGCAATCCTGCACAGTGCGAAACCGCGTATCTCCGTTCGCGACGTTGCAGAAATTCCGTCCTACTGAATATTTCCCTGGAAGACTCGTCAGCAAAAGTTCTTTAAAACTTCCTTGATTTTTCTTCTCTGTCAGAAGAACATATTGTGTAACCCAAGCTACATAAATAAATAAAAACTTATTTATAATTATATGTAAATGAAGAGGAGAAAATTAGTTGGGTTTTATGTAATGTTTTATCATTTGGATGACAACATTTCCAACAAACTTTACAAAAACTTCAAAATCGTAAGTTGAAAACCGCTGACGCCGCAAGTTTAAATAATCGTATCAAACACAGTGCGGCCGGCGCGGCGCAGGGCTGGCGCGCACGGCATGGAACGCATATTAGCGCCTTACAAGATCGCAGGATACTTCATACATTACGCGTACCGCACGGCGCGAGCGACGCATTTTCAACGCCTTACTAGTCTGCAAGATACTTCTTGCATTGCGCGAATACCATGGCACGAGCTCAAGTCGTTGAAAAGTCGTATTTTCTACTATTCTCTCGGGAGAAAAAACTATTCTGCCGAAAGAGAAAACTATTCTTTCGGACATTTTGACTCTAATTGAACATGTTTTGGAATTTCTTGGCTTTGTTTTCCCCGCGAAGTGGTGTGGACCCAGCACCATTTCTCCACTTTGTCACATCTATAAGCTGGAACCGATTAAAGAGCGACAATACACTCTAGAGTGTATTTTGCAGAATGTAGAACGGCAATCGAGCTTTGAACTCATTTTTTATCATTTGTTTATCCTTGTAGCGTAGAAGTGAGAATGCTATTGATCTACTGACCTTATAGTTCCTGAGAATAACAAGAGAATCCTCTAAGTGGAAGTTTTTTTCTCCGCATACTCCTACTCTCTACACCGAAAAAAAAGTTTGGTCGTAAGAACCAAATTTCGGTGTTCCATATCATCCCAACTAATTCAGTTTGTCAAACCAAATTTTAGGTTCGCAAAACCGAACTTCAACGGTAAAGTGGACTGACGAACATTTGATACTGATATCGAAACTGCACTCGAATGCGATATTTTCTCTCTGAAAAAACCACGCCTTTATTACGTTGAATTTCTTCGTCAAAATTGGTAAGTGAGTGCTTTAGTCTCCTGACAACAGAATTGCGATATCAAAATTCGAGAAAAATGACGAGTAGCTTAAAAAAATGGAACCAATTGATGCGATATATCGCATGCCGTTCTGACACAAAATATGGCGTTCATCGAATCACCTTAACTGAACATGGCAAGTACCTGGGTCGTCAAAAACCATTTTACAAAAAAACGAGACAACTCTGCATCGGTCCTTGTGTCCTCTCGGCCATTCTCATGCCATAAATATGAGAGGAGCCATAATACAATTTGATGAATGCGCGGGGAAAAAAATCTTGGCACCCCAAAAGGCTCTGCAATGGTGCTGCATCGCCTGAAATTATGACAATGACTCTTTCCAAAGTCACGCTCAGCGGAGGGGCTGCCAATTTTCACTAAGCCGCAGCCTCACAAAGTTCGACAAAATCGCGCATCGACGGAAATTATCTACGACAAAAACCATTAGACTTACGTGGTTCTTGCCGAACCAGGGCAGTGCACTCCTTCCGTGAGCATAGACCTCAGTTTCAGTGTTTCCGTCGCCCTGCAAGCCCTCGATTTTTTTGCCAAGTTGGCTGGGGCCCCGAAAAGTTTATCGTGCCTCGCGAACGCTTGAGAAAACAATTGACAAGCGCCGTTTAAGGCATGCAATATAGTAAATGGTCATTTTTTTACATGTTTGAATGGTTGGCGATTGTTAAAGCTTACTGTAAGCATCAACCGTAGGCTCAGTGGTAGAGAGTCTCACGGAGACACCTTATAAACGCATCGTCCAACTCGTGTGTCTCATGAAATTATCTACCTATGCTGGGACCTAAATAAAATTATATATTTGTCATTTTAAAAAACAATTCCTTAATAGACCATTAGGCAAGGTGCGAATTTAAGCATTCTAATACATGTTCCTAAATCAGAATTTCACGCAAAACACGGCTCGCGCAACGAAAATTACTGAAACCAACTCCTAACGAAGATATTAACGTTTTTATTTCACACTGGTTACGGGGAATTTGAACTGCCCGCTCACAAGAAACTCAAAGCTCTACGTGAGTCAAATAGCGCACTAAAACGGTTTCAGCAAGCTTCTCAATCGAGCAATGTTCATTTCCCACCATGTGTTTTTCAAACTATAAGTAATTTGCTATAGCTGAGCCAAAGCGTCAAGATTGCGGTTGCCAGATTTTTTTTATTGCAGAGACGTTCATGATAACGTTTAGCGCGCAATGTGAATCACGTAGAGCATGGAGTTTTCACGAGCGGGTGGTTTCAATTGACGCACCAAGAATCATTAAATATTTTCGGAAGAAGTTGATTTCGGTAATTTTCGGTGTGCGCATCGTGTTTTACGTGAAATTTTTGTGAAGAAACATGTATCAGAATGCTGAAATTCGTACCTTGTTTAGTGGTCCATTATTAAATAGTTCTGATTGGTGTCAAAAGTGAGCAACAGTAATCGAGCTCTCATGGGTAAAGTCTCAAAGCAGGCATTTTTTCAAATGAACTATTAAAAATCGAGGAATAAAAAGGTGCCGGAGTCATGTAGCGTCCATAAATTCCGCGTGATATATGCAGCTAAGGGGAAATTAGCACCATTAAAGCGAATGAAACTCCGCAAAAAGAGGAGATTCCACTCTATAATGGTGTATACCACTCTGTAAGGAGCATAGATTTCGCTAAGCATTCATATCACTCGGGGGTTTTAAGCGCTATATAGACTCCGGCCCAAAAGCTCACTCCAAAATGTTCAACAGTGTGTCTCGGCGAATAGTTAACTACTCTCACTCAGGGTCAAATTCTGATTCTCATAATAATTCCATGGCAAAATAGTTATTTGTCTTCATAGAGAGAAATTATTTTTAAAAAAAAGTTCATCATTTTATGGTTGCTGTGATGATTTATAGCGTATTGATTAACTTTTATCTCAAATTAGTGCAGCATTTCTTTGGAGAAGGGGTTTACACAATTTTGACAGCATGAAATGTATGAGGAGCATTTTAAAAAGGTGTATACAATGTTAGTTTGTAGTGTAATGAATTCTAACTTCTGAAATATTCAAAATTTGAGGGTGCTGAATAAAATCATTCAAAATGTAGTAAACTTTCAAACTTTGACTATATGCCCAAGAATTTGATGAAATGCTGGATTTGACAACTAGCCTCCTTCAGAGCAAATAAAATGATCGGGGATCGTTCATGAGATACGTAACGCTTTGGGGACTTTAGGAGGAGAAGGGGCTGGCTGACATAAGGGCATAACCACACTTAGAGATGAGCCCGGGAAATCATTGAGTTATATGGGCGCCAGGGCTCATCTCGAGGTGTAATTACGCCCTTATGCGCGGAGGGCAACGAAATACAGGGGTAGGAGGGCGTTTCGGGCAGCGTTACGTAACGCCAAAACTTTATGACTTATGACGGTAAAACTTCTGAGGAGGATAGTCGTATGAGTACTGGAATATTCCCAAATTTTCAATGTGAAGTACTTATTTTTTAAAGAAAATAAGTTGAGAATATTTTTCCTCGAAATCTTTTTTATGTTGGATTTCATTGAAAATCAATTTTTCGAAAAGTTAACTGAAAAAACTGCATAAGTTTTCTAGGAAGTTTGTTTTTCATTAGAGGAGATTCAAACGCTCATATGATATTTTGCCTCAGTACGGAAACATGGGTCTGTTTCTGCAATGCTAGCACCTATCTGCACCTATAGGCTGGGAAATGGACGACAAAACGTTCTGTCTAGAATGAGACAGAAATAGTAGTTTTTATTGCCAAGTGTGCTCCAACTTTCACGTCAATTGCCTAGTTAAAACTCGGGTGAACTGCTTTTTGCGGACGTTAAATTTGAAGGCGCTTTATCGTTGCTTATAAATTCCTTCCGAGGTGAGTGATGAGTGAGTTGCAGAAGTCATAGAAGAAAGTTTAGATGTCTTCAACGGCAGAACAACTGTGTAATAGTATATCGGATTATTCATTATTTTTCGGCCAGTTGCATTATTGACTCCATTATTGATAGCGCATTTTCAACTGTATCGGATCATTAGAAAATTCCCATGGACTTGTAAATCTCCGCGGAAAAT